TGTCTTTAGATGTTCTGTTTTACCCCAAAATATTCTCGCCTTTAACTTTCTAAAACAGATAAAATCTTCACATCGGGTGGGACCGAAAATGTTTTTGCTCACAAAATGACCGACACAGTTAACTGATTATCACAATTTACCTTTTATTAAATGGTGCCATTAGTGGGATAACTGGAGAAGCAATAAAGGTTTTCAGTCAGACTCACAAGGATTGATGCTGCAGTTCAAGGTTTGCGTTTTCACCCCGTGACACTGGGTGCTACAGTTATTAGAACGCTTACAGATTAATTTTCATCCTAGAATGTTAGAGCTCTGATGGTGTTTAATGAGGTTTCCTTTGTAGAATCTTTAGCAGAAAATTAGAACTTTTGTTATTTAAAAAAAAAAGTATCAAGTAATTATGACACTTTTACACTTTAGAGTATTTTAATAAGCCGACTTCTACCATAAGATTTTCTCGGAAACGGTGGATCATGACTGAATAAGTTATTCGAGAAGACCGAAAATTAATTACTCTCCATACACTTAATTCTGGGCCTTGATTGCGACTTTGAAGCGTGCGGCAAAGTTACCTTTCGTGATGAATGATAGAATTGTTTTTTCTTAGAACATTAATATCCGTTTTATATCGCCATCTACTCATTTGTTTAAAAAAAAATCTAATTAATTTATTTGACAAAGAGTATTATGTGTCGTACGATGATGGAAGTAAAACTAATTAAAGACGTTAATTGCGTCTCTTGTCTTGAATTACGTATCTACGTTCTCTTCTCTCCTCGCAGGACTCTCTAATGAATAACAGGACTGCATTACATAAGCGCACCCAGAGGACGAGCTTATGTATTGTTCCAATCCCTCTGTTTGACGCTGTGGCTCCTGACGATATGCCGAGAGGTACTGATGGGAGACGAGGAGTACTGAGAAACACTGTCCTGCAGTCAGACAACCCTACAAGACTCATCCTGTCTTTAGCATTTTAACCTACGTGGGTGGAGCATTCGTATCGTAACGTACCTACACGTGGCGATCTTCGTGCAACGATTTAAAACCCAGAAACTTCCGTTCACTGATGCTGCTGTTAATATTGAAATGTATATTAATTCCACCGCAACGATGCATTTTGCCCAAAGCTACTCGGCACTGTTTAATCTTGTATATCTGTAGTCACACATGTTCAGAGGTGCAGTTTTTTTGTAAATGAAATATGTAAATATGGATCCAAACATGTAGAGATGATTACGTCCAGGATTAGCATCACGACTATCTGTATAGTTAATGAAATTCTAACTGGGTTCTAGGAACGAAAAGACAGTGTCTCTCAGTATGCGCAAAAAGGAAAATGATCAACAATCTGGATTTTACCACAAGCGCCTCATTTCTCTGATTGTACAGAACATTACCATGACAATAAAACAGCCAGTCTTTTTCATATCTGCAACTGTGTCTGTTCTTCTGGCATTTCTTGTTTGTGTGCTTGCTCAAAGGGTCTTGGCCTTACACTGTAAAGCGCCCTGAGATGACTTGTGTTGTGAACTGGTGCTATATAAATAAAATAAACTGAATTGAAAATTGTTTTTTTTTTTTTTATGTTTGAACTCTTGTCTTCCAAAACCAAATTTAAAAATAATAATAATAAAGGATAAAGGTACTATTAGGAAAATGTAGCTACTTAAGGGATGAAAAGTGAAAGTATCTTTTGTTATTATTAATTATTAGGCTGCAACAATATTAATTTTCTATTATTCTGCTAATTGTGTTTCCATTGATTTAAAAATGTTTAACACATTTCTGACCAACGGTCTAAACTTCTAAGTTATTAGAATTATTAAAAAGAAACAGCAAATGTTAATATTGTAAATATATTAATCAATTAACTAAGCATAACAAATAGTTTCAGTGCTCTGTGTGCAGTATATACAACTAAATCTATAACAAAGCATTATGCAGTGTTTTATAAGCTCTTCATACATGTTGTGTGTAATATTGTAGTAACCAAAGTTCATAAACTAAACCCTCTAATAAGTTGAGATGTCTAATATGAAAAGGATGGACAAAATATTAGAAACCCCAACAAACAACATTCATGAAAGCAAAAAGCCAAAATGTTGAGCGATGAGCCAATATCAGCTTTTAAGACTCAGCTCATCGTTGTGCAGCTTCTTTGAGTTCTTTTCACAGATTGTATTTGTAATTATTTTTTTAAACTTTATTTCAGCATCATTTTGTTTAAAACAACAACAACAAAACTCTTTCTCCAGTTAGTTTTATTAAAGATTTTTTTAAATGGTATTGTGAGAAGATGGGAACGAAATTTCAAAATAAAAGCGGCAAAAAGTGCAATAAGAGAAAGAACGGAAAAACATTTTATAATAATCAATAGTGTATTGATTATTTCTGGAAGTCATTGTCATGTAAATCTATATTTGTCCATTTCTCAACCGCAATCAAAAACGTATTTCTCTTCTAATACACAGCAGTTTCACACTAGAAATTACCTGTAACTTTGAAATGTTATTTGAAGCAACAGATCAGCTCGGTTCTCTTTGTTATATTGCTGTTTGTTGACTTTTTGGGTGAAGGTCCTGGCAAGAAAGAGCAGCACTAAGGCCAAGATGCGTCAAAATAAACTAAATTGAGTTTTTTTTTTTTAAATCACGTTTGTACATTTCATGATGTTTTCTGTTTAAACGAAACACCGAACGACATTCTTCCTAACTAAACAAAAACAAAGGAAAAAAAAAAAGTACCTGCTGTTTAGTGTAACCAGACGAGGGGCGTGGCCTCAGGTGCGAGGCTTTGACTCAGCACAGGTGAGCTGCTCACGCGCCCCGCTGACAGCTGCGGCTCGAGCGTTCCAAGGGAGACGCGAGACTTTGCCATCCGAGACTCCAAGGACGTTCCTCCTGTTCGGCTTTTGTGCTGGAATTCAAACTTAAAAAAATAGCCAAAATGACGTTGCTGGAGAAACCGGAGAGATTCGTTTTTCTGGCCGTTTTCTTTAGCCTTTCCTCTAAAGGTGAGAATTAAAACTAATTCCAGGCTTTATTTTGAAAACTTGTTTGCTGTGTATGCTAGATATGACAAAGACTGATGCTCATGGCTATTATTGTTCACGTTTTAAGCATAGTAATTATATTTATTTGTCATAATTTTCAATAGAAATAACCAACTGGGCTTAAGTTGTCCCTATTGGCTGAGTTTAGAGAATTATTTCTTCTTTCCTTTTTGAGCTAATAACTTGGTTCCATCCTGACAGGTGCCTACAGTCAGCTGGAGGTTGCTCCCGCCGGTCCAACTCTGGTGAATGCACTCGCTGGCAGCAATGTGACTCTGTCTGTGTCCTTCACCGGTGCCCCCGACCCAGCCCTCACCTGGTTTATGGGAGATATTCCCGTTGTGACGTGGACTATAGACTCCAGTGATGATCCAGACGTGGCTGAAAACCGCAAGAATGTGCTCAAGATTGAGCGAAATGGATCCCTCAGCTTTGTGAATGTGCCACTTGGATACACAAGTAGCTACACTGTTGAGATGACAAAGTCTGGAGTTGGAAAAGCATCGACGACTTTCACTCTGAACATATTTGGTGAGTCCAATGTGGAGGTGCTGTTCTTTTGTGGGGTTACTGGAACTTTTTTGTGATACTGATTCACAGATGCTGTCATGTATTTTGATCGTTTGAGGGTATGATGAGTTTAACAGCTGGGAATATTTGGAGAAAAAGGTTTCCAAAGCCGCTGTGTGTGTTTAGAGAAGATGCTGGATTTCCTCAAAACATTACGACAAAAATTCGAGCCAGACGTCACACATTCTGCAAGAGATTTAGTGCCTTACCTTAATTCTTGACTAGTGTCTCTTTTTACATTTAAAACAAAAATGCAGCAAACACACTTGGAGGTTGCAGGTTTTGGAAGAGTAACTGCTTCCCCAGAGGATGCAGATATAATCACTCTTGTTGGATTTTACTTGGAATCCATCCCAGCTCCGGGGCTGTTCATACATGGTTGTCTCTTTTCTGTTGAATGTGGTCATGTTGGAATCACTCTAGAAAGTTTAACAGTTGATGTTTAGCCTAGACTCGTCATCTTAATAAGACCGTGGTGAATTTGAAAGGAAACCAGGCGTAGCGGACTTAAAGACGACAACACTTGAGCCACCTGATCTACTGTCCCTTCACATTTCTGTTTACAGAAAACTTCCAGAACCTGATTCTGAGCACTCAGCCAGATTTTGCGAAAGAGGGAGCGGAACGGTTCACCTTGCGCTACAGCATGCTGCAAGGCGTGGTCGAGCAGCAGACGTGGTTCTTCAATGGCAGAGAGATAAAAACCGACTCGCACTACTTGGTGGAGCAGAGGAGCCTCGTGATCCTCAACCCAAACCGAAGCGACTCGGGGCAGTACTCGGTGCACCTGACGAACCCCTTTAGCACTGCGACTGCTCTTAAGAATGTCACTGTGAGATGTAAGATTAACTACATTGAACTGAAATTCTTCACCATGAGCATCTTGTAAACATCCGTCATCTTACGTCTCTCCTCTCTGCGCTTTGTGGTCGGTTACAGATGGACCAGATGAGCCCACACTTGAGGTCCAGCCAGATAAGCCCTCCTATGTGGCGGGAGACTCCGTGAGCCTCTCCTGCCGGGCTGAGGGATTCCCACAGCCGACTGTCCAGTGGGTCTTTGGTGGTCAGATCCTCTCTGATTCCCGCGAAGGAGTCCTAAATTTAGCGAACGTACAGGCCAGTCAAGGAGGTGTTTATACATGCAGTCTGCTCAACGAGGACACGAACGAGAAGCGTCAGAAGAACCTGACTTTAACTATTTATGGTATGTGAATAGAAGTAGTTTTGTCTTAGATGCATAAGAATCTTGAAAAAAGTTGATATTTTACAAATCGAATTGTCTAAATAACGTATATTTGAACCCAAACACTGTTACCTATTGTTGTTCGGTTCACATTAATGATGCAAGATTACATTCTGTTTTGGGACAGACAGACCGGTGGGCAACCCTGTGTGTTCTGTGACGTCTGTGGGTATCACTCACCTGCAGTATCGCTGTGAGTGGACGGGGGGAAGCCCGCAGGCCAACCTGTCATTCCCAGACCTAAGCATGAGTATTGAGGCAGGACACATCAGCCTGAACGTCAACGCCTCAGATGACCTAAATGGGAAAACTGTGGCGTGCATGGCAAACCATCCACTGGAACAGAATGAGTGCAATGTTACTGCAAGTAAGTTTCTTTTTAAGCAACTGTGTGTAAAAAGAAAAAAAAAGTTATTCCTATAAGTAAGTCATATATTATGTGCTGTATTGACTTGTGGTAGTCAACCCTGATCAAGAACTTTATGTTCTTCAGGCAGTCCAGAAGAGTTCCGTCCAGTCATAAGAGCAGTTGACTCTGATGGCAAACTAAAGGTCACAATCGATTGTGTCAGTGAGGCCTCACCTCCGGCTGTGGTGTCGTGGTACCGAGGCGGTGAGGCTGTCGCCAGCGGGACAACGCAACAGATCAGCAACGACACCACACAGCTCCAGATTCTTGATTACAGTGTCAACAGCACTCTCCTGCAAAACTACACCTGCACGTGTCGCAACCCACTCGGCAGCTTAAGGAAGGAAATTCTGCTGCAAGGTACAGCATCCTGACTGAAAATATAAAACTGACCCTGAACACAATTTTGAGGTGGAAGAGTTTATGTGTTTTATGTATTTTTACTCCACTACATTTTAGAGGGATGTCGTGCACTTCTTCTTTCTATATTTAGCAGATTAGGTTGCACAAGAATATTTGATGAGTAAACCGGTGGTGGAGCTACAACAGTGTAAAAGCACTGAAATAGAAGTCCTTCATTCACTTCTATTAATAGTTCCACCTCAGTAAGACCCATATTATCAGCAAAATGTACTTAAAGTGTCAAAAGTACCATGAGTCAAGGTGGACAGGACATAATTCTGCTACTGCTTTGATCATTTCAAAAATAATTGTATTTTAAAACTCTCTTCAATTCCCTGCGTCTCTTTCTGTTATGTGATCGTAATCTAGATGATTGGGCTTTGGACTGAACATAAAAAAGGCATTTTTCACATTACATTTGATAAACTTTAAATTGGTTAAATAGCAAAGTAGTTATTGTTAAGTTATTGTTAGCTGCAACACGACTTTGAGACTGAAATACTAAGATCTTTTATTTCAGTGAGTATTTAGAATTTGAATGGAATAAGTAAAAATATGTACTTATTATAGTTAGTGCAGTGATGATTTGCGTCACCTTTCTGCTGCTTTCAGCTTCCAATTTGGAGTGCTACTAGCATTACCAGACACAATGAGCCCTCAGAGAGAGAGCTAAGTAATACCTGAGATTGCTATTTCCCTTTAAACAAAGCTCTCCAGTCTTGTTGCACCCTCAGCCCCCCTTCCTGTCCTTTCTTGATCTCCCTCCTCGCTCACAATCCCTCTCTCTCTCTCTCTTTCTCCAGGACCGTCGATCTCAGATTTCAATGTGTCCACTAATGGAACCGTCGTCACGTTGACCTGGGAGGTCCCGCGTGCGTCTGTTGTTACGGGTAGGCAGTAATTAACTCCAGGAAAGCAAAACTCCAACCGTATCTCTTGTGAACCCACACAAACCCAACCCCTCTTGTTTTGATTTTGCACATCTAAGCAGACGTCTTGGGGAAGAATGCTGACAGTGTTGAAAACAAACTCAGGTTAGAACATAGAGGTGTAAATATTACGTGATGTGTGAAGCCACCAGCTGGGCAGGGCGGTGTTATGGGAAAAAAGTATTTTAGGGATGAAACCACTGTGAAAAGCAAATGTCAGTCTTTGGTATGTCTCCGTGTCTGTCAGTTTGTATGTACATAATATGACAGCAATATTCTCCTCATAGGCATGTAGCAGTAATCGGTAAACTACTGAGATGTGCTACCGCTATCAGGTTTAGAGATTCATCTGCTCTGATGCGACAACCCAACTCTGTGTGCTTTTGCAAAGGGTTCGACATCGAAATGAAAGGGCCAAGCCAAAACCCTAACACCACTCACGCTAACTCAGACGGATACCGCGTCATCCTGCAGAAACCAGGCTCTGCTAGGACAGCGACAGTCTTTGACCTCGATCCCGACTTGACCTACCGTTTTCGGGTCGTCCCCAAAGCTCGTCTCACAGTAGGACCGCCGTCTGAGGCCCGCAGGATTGGTCCAGGTTTGGCCCAGTTGTGTGTTAAAGCATCACATTTGTTATCGCAGGGTTAGTGACTTTGCGGTATAATTATTGGTCCTGTTGGTGCTAGGTGAAGGGCTGAGCGGTCCTGCCATTGCTGGCATCGCAGCCGGAATCCCCTGCAGCCTTCTCTTCCTGGTTCTGCTGGGCGTCCTCATCTACTTCTGTGTCTACTGGTACAAGAACAGAAGTAAGTGAAGTTAAGCACCAAAAACAAACCGGTGACTATTTGTCTTCCGTTATAAATATTATCACCTTTTCCCCTCCTGTGCCTTGTAGATCATCAGCCAAGATATCCAGCCTCCAGATTCCCTGAAAAGGTCTGAATCAGTTCACTGGCCAACGTAATCGATGTGCAGGAATGTCGAGTTATATGGATTTTGAACTTCAATTGTCTGCCGAAACTCGACAACAGAGGACGCTGGTCAACTCCACTCATTTTCCATTTTTATTTAATCTTTTCAGAAAGGAATCAGGTTGAGTGTTTGCTAGTTGATAACCTTAAAATAAAACACAAACCCGTATTAATCCATCAACAATACTTTAAATTGTACATCTTAATAACTCCAAATCAAAATGATTGCAAATATTATTCATTACATAAACCAAGTCCGGAAACCAACATCCCAAATCACCATAAATCAAATTAACAATTACAATTTTATCCTTTAAATTCATTTGAAACTGTCTCTACATACCAGTGGCGTCTCTGCAGTCATCAGTACAATAAAGATTTCTGACCTTCCTCCCTGCACTGGCATGAACAGCAAACGAAGAGAACACACCTGCCCAGGACCCACTATTGAAGCCTTCTTCTCCCTTCAGGCCTGAGCTGACACACCTGTCAACTCAGCACTGCCCCCTTGCTGCTAGTAAAATAAGTAGCTAGGTGAAAAATTAAATAAGCAAATAAATACATATACACACAGCACCATAACCTAATTCATAACTCAACAAGGAATTTATCTCCGTAGCTTTAGGGCGAGCAGATCAGTTAATAGTTACAGGGCGCTGAGGAAGTGTAGGGTACACATCATACTTTTACATATCGTGGCTCAGATGATTATACTGCATTGTAATACATCATCATGTTCCACAATCACTTCTCTTACTTTGGGTGGTCGTTTATTTCTTGTGACTCACAGGTGAAAACGATCCAACCAGACATAACTCCTCATAACATGCTGACAGGAGACAAGAAGGCTCCTCCTGACTACAACAGATTACAGCTGGTAATGTAGATAACAGCAAACAAGTGTACGTAGCGGAAAACCGATCCAGCAAATGAACTGACTCGTGTCTGTTTTCTTTCAGACTCCCTCGGAGAGATCCGTGGCTCTGCCCACATTTGTCCCTCCACCGCCTCTAAGAGTCGCCACAACTGTCTAATTGATGTACATTTTAATTTGTAAAGCGCGATTTATTTTTTATGTTTTTAATTCACTGAAAGATGTCCTCTGTATTTTGTATATATATATTTTTATTAACTAAAATAAGGATCAGTGTAAACATGATGCTCAAAAAATGTTAAACAAGTCAATAGCCTGAAATTTCTTGCATGACAGTAAATTACTCAAAACATCAATGATTTTGGAATGAAGATGAATGAACTCCTGTTGTTAGATACTGTCACCCTCAAATCCTTGGTATCCATTTTTTGTGATGTTCAGTTTGCTTTTATGCTGTGCTAGTGACAGCCATGGCTGGAGGCATTGTGTTTTATTATATGTATGTATTTATATCTGTATGTACACCAGTTCGCCAAAACATTAAAACCACCTGCCTAACATTATTTGGGTCCCCCTTACGCCGCTCAAACAGCTCTGACCCATTTGGACATTTGACCCCTGGAGGTACCCTGTGGGTTCCAGGATGGAGCTTTTGTGGATCTGGCTTTCTCCCTCACACCTCATAGATCAGGGGTGTCCAATCCTGGTCCTCAAGGGCCACAGTCCTGCATGTTTTAGATGTTTCCCTCTTCCAACACACCTGATTCAAATGATTAGCTCATCATGAAGCTCCACAGAAGCCTGATAACAATCCTGATCATTTGAATCAGCTGTGTTGGAAGAGGGAAGCATCTAAAACATGCGCCCTCGAGGACCAGGATTGGACACCCCTGTCATAGATGCCTTGGAGGTGAACACCCTGAGCTCTTAGTCATGTCCCTCGAGCTGTTTTTGGCAGATAGTGAGCCGCTTGTCCTGCTGGAGGAGGCCACTGCCATCCAGGGATCCTAGCTGACCTAAAACAGGAAAAGTTTAGTCACATTTAATGTCAGATAGTGAGGGAAAAATAGGTTGTGTCTTTTTATACTGTGTATGTAAACTTCTGGTTTCCGCTGTACATTAGCTGGGGAGGGACTCACACACACACTGGCAACCTCCAAAATGGAGAAGAAGCTACACATAAGTTGTGAAAGGGTGTAAACTGCATTTTCCTATAAAGTAGTTTTGGTGCAACAAACTTAAGCAAGCTTCTAACATGTTGTCAAGATTGTGAAAGAGGGATTTTTACCACAAAGCATGACTTCATCAGTTGGTACACCATCCCAACCACAAGTGAGTACTGGAGTAAGCAACAAATGGAAAAAGGAAATTTAAGTCTAAAAATAATGGGTCCACGTGGGTGAAAGTCCTGTGCCGGACGAAAGAAACTGCCAACTTTCTATCGTCCCTGTGTGGTTTTTATGGCTTAAAGTCGAAACACAGAGAAAATAAGTTTCTTACAAAATGTAAATAAGAATGCACTTGAATTGTATAGGGAGGCTACTTTTGGGAGGCAGGGTTGGTTTGGATTACCCCTTATAGCTGTGAATATCTCCTATCAACAGTGTTTGTTGTTTGAAGCAATTTGCTTTAGACATTTGTCACAGCAGACTTTTTCCCTTTTTGCAGTTGGAAAAGTTCATTTAGAATGAATAAAGGCTCAGTTCCACTAAGTATCCCAGTAAACCAGGGGTCTCAAAATCCATTTACCTGGGGGCCACTAGAGGTGGTAGAGTCTGGGTGAGGCTGTAGGCTCAAGTATTCCACAAAAAGAGGGTTTCAAAAAAAGTACAACTGATCCATCCATCCATCATCTATACACCGCTTAATCCTCACTAGGGTCTCGGGGGGGCTGGAGTCTATCCCAGCCGACTTAGTGAAGGCAGGGGACACCCTGGACAGGTCACCAGTCTATCACAGGGCTACACTTAGAGACAGACAACCAAGCACACTCACATTCACACCTACGGACAATTTAGAATCACCAATTAACCTCAACATGTTTTTGGACTGTGTGGGAGGAAGCCGGAGAACCTGGAGAGAACCCACGCTGCACGGGGAGAACTTGGAGACTCCACGCAGAAAGATTCCGGTGCCACCACCGGGACGCAAACCGGCGACCTTCTAGCTGTGAGGCAACGATGCTAACCACCGACCACCTTGCAGCTACAACTGATCCAATCTTCTCAATCTTTATTAATAACAATTCAGAACATGACCGGTTCTTGAGAACATAGGCTTTTCTTACCTACTCCTTGCTGCCAGAGACCTGGCAGCGCTTCCTTTTACACAGCTGAGCCACATTTGGCTTGAGGGAGGAAGCAACTGAGATCCTTAACACACGGGCCGCACTGACAAAACTTTTATGTAGTAGGGGGGCACAAAACATCATCCCGTGTGCCTCAATTGTGCTGCTGCTTCCATGACAAGTCAAGAAAAAGGTCAGTCGTGGTGAGCTGATGTTTTACATCTGTGCAGTAGATGGTGCTGTGGAGGTATGCTAAAGACATGCCAGCACAAGAAGGATACCAGCTGTTAAAGTAGTTCAATAAATATAGAGTTTAATATTTATTTCTTAAACTGACACATCTGTTGTTCCTGTCTTTGTTGTTTTGCATCTACATTTTCTTTAAAGTGAGTTTTGCTTATACTGTTTTTTCCCCTCACCATATGCAAATTAAAAAAAAATATATATCTAACTTAATATCATCTCAGCTGTCGCCTGAAACCACTTACAAACTAATTGGTAAATGTTCTTATGCTGAAAGCAACCCTATAGCCAAAACTAAATGTTACAAAGTTAATGGCTTCGAATGCGGTTAAAGGTTTGTGCGCATCATTTGTAGGCGCGGCAGTGTAGCAGGAATACAGTTTTCAAACTGTGAAAAATTCAGAATCAGCAAACACATCACTTTCTGAGAACTTCGTGAAAACATTTCACACCTCACATTAGATGCGCTGGGCAGGGCCACGAGAGCCGAGTGTGACTTGCTTCCAGGAAAAAGTTTATAAAAATGTGTACATCTTATGTAAAGTTTCCATGTTCAAATACATACCCACGTGATTATAATAAATGCCTCCCTCAGAGGACACATGGTCATCTGCAGGTCTGACTTCAAAGTAGGCTCTGATCTGATTGGATGACAGCCATCAGTCATCAGAGTTAAACACAGCAGCTGCATCATCAGTGTGTCACTTCCTTTAAAGTGGTTCTCATATACTAAGAAATCCAATTATGTCTGTCAACCTTTAAAACATTCACAGGAAAATGTAGCTGAATGTGCAAACCACAGACTGTGTGGTGTAAACAATGAAGTATGAATTAGTGAATGAATGAATGAATGCCCTTTATTGTCATTATACAGGTTATAACAAGCTTGGAGAGCTTCTCCTCTTCAGTGCAAGTAAAAAACAAAAAACAAAATAAAGTGCAAAATTGCTCATTTATGTATAAAGATAAAAAAGGATAAATATATAAAAAGAAATAAAAGATTTCAGAAATATTGCACGAGATGATGGATTTATACATACAGATTATGAATATTTACATACGGATGATGGATATTTACATAGTGCACATAGTGAAGGAGGCTGATTGAGGCAGAGAGGATATTTTACATGTGAGCGTTCATGATGGTGATGGCTCTTGGACAGAAACTGTTTCTCAGTCTGCTCGTCTTTGCTTTGGAGCATCTGTACCAGAGGGCAACAGCTCAAACAGCTGAGAACCGGGGGTGTGAACTGTCCTTGGTGGTGCTGCGAGCTCTGCTGAGGCACCGGGTGGTATAAATGTCTGTCAGGGAGGGGAGAGGGCAGCTAACAATCCTCTGTGCTGCACTGACTATCCTCTGAAGCCTCGCTCCGTCTGCCTTGGTGCAGGTGGAAACACAGGACGTCAGCAGGCTCTCGATGGTCAAGCGATAGAAAGAAAGCAGCAGCTTTCTGTCCAATTTGTTCTTCCTGAGGACTCTCAGGGAGTGTAGACGCTGCTGGGCCTTCTTTATGGCAGCTGAGGTGTTGTCTGATCAAGAGAGGTCATCTGGATTCCCAGGAACCTGAAAGTGTGGACTCTCTCCACACACTAGAGAGAGGGCGAGTCGGTTCTGTTCCTCCTGAAGTCCACAGTGATCTCCTTGGTCTTCGCAGTGTTGAGTGCCAGGTTGTTGTCTGAGCACCAGGTTGAGAGTTTCTGTACCTCCGCTCTGCAGGCTGACTCGTCTCCCCTCGAGATCAGTCCGACTGCTGTGGTGTCGAAGCACTGAAACGGAGAGCCGTGAACCGCTGCATCTAAGCGCCGTCTTGATCAGAAAGTATAGTTTAATTTGAGCAGTACAACACTGCGATCATCCCCTCCCTTCTCATACCGGTTGCTGATAGAGGTCAGTAACGGCATTTAAAGCGTGTGATGTTTCGAGATAAGAGAGGTCATCGGGTCACGTCTGGTCACCAGTGCACACTCAAAGCCCAAAACAAAATACCTCCAGAGATGTCATTTATTTTTTAGATTTCAAAAATAGAACCACTGGGAGGTGTTTTGTTTGCACATCAGACGAGACGAGTTGTACGTGCGGCAACAGTATGAATAGACAGCTCATCACCATACAGAGATGCGATGTAGCAGTGCTAAATGTCACACTGCTTATGCAAATGATGAGACAGAGATAAAGAGTTTACTGGGGGTGACTTGTGCAAGTGCTGTAATGTGTTTAGTCCAAGATGTACAAAATATGGCATATTTAGGTCAGTTTGTATGCAGGTTTTATAGATTGTCACAGTTATGAAGAAAATCTGCTAAGAAGATGATGATAAGACAATTAAGTTAAAAAAAAAAGATGTCAGTTCTGCTCCGGTGTCCCAGAGGTTCCCTGGATATTAACACGGATCATCTGACATGTAATTAGCTGCTTCACATATATTTTAACAAGCAATTAATTTGGCAAATGTTGTAGCAGCTGCGACTGTTTGGAGAAAGTCTACAAGCCATGTGAATCACACCCGCTGTTAGACAAATTTCTGAATAGCTGCAAGATCTGCCAGACATATATTCGCCATTTAGCAAAATTAGAATGCTCAGGTTTGGTTGATGTGTCAGGCAACGCTTAATGTAGTTAGAGGTGGTGCTGTCGGGGAGTATGTTATAGAGTGGTGGGCAAAACAGAAACATGCAATAGGCTACGGTCCAGTTTACCGCCACGTCAAAGCCGTGTATAAAACATTATTACATTTGTAAAAGTAGAATTCATGGCAGAGCTGTTGTTTATAGATTTGACTTGTGTTGAGCTAACGAAGCGCTCTTTAAGCTGAGTGACGCATGTTTGGTAAGTTGCTGTGCTGCTGCTTATATTCTAAATAAGTGTCCCATTTTCAAAGATAGTTATGTGTCGGTTACCCCTCTATTGTCAGAGCAGTGTTTCCACAGCGTCACTACATATTCAGGGGTGAACATGTATAGCGCAACCTGCGTGCAGTGTGTAATTTTATGAAGCAGCTCTTTGGTCATGTGTCTGCTCTGAGCGTGTATGTGTCCCCATGACCACACCCCGGCTACCCTGAAAGAAAGTGTGCGCTTCAGCATGTTCCATTGACCACAGCAGTACTGCAAGCCTTTGCACATCCACAGTTCCAGAACGCCTAATAGAACAACAGACATGGACTGCGGCGCAACGGCCTCGTGTCCCAGACCCTCCCCCCTTCCCCCCCCAACGCCATCCCCCCCCCTCCCCGTCTCCCACCGACACCCCCCAAAATACTCCCCTCCCCACCCCACCCATGTAGTTCAATGTGAACGGGTCACGTGGCTTCTGGCCCACCAGCTCAAGTGCATTTGTTCTGTGATGATTGTTTTAAAGGATTTTGCCTCCATCGACAGAAAAGTGGAGGGGATAACCTTTTGGAATTCAGCCTAGGGCTTCCTCTTTGACGTTTTGCTCACTCCTGGCTTGCACTCTCTCTCACTCTTTCCCTGAGGAAAGGCTGATACTTAAGAGGGTTGATCTATCCTGAGGAATTCAGGTAAGATGATGTTGGGATTGTTTTGGTGATGGACAATAATAACATAGAGCGCACATCATTGTCTACCAGCCAACGAGTGTGTTTGTTACATTTGGGCTGAGAAGGCCTTCGTTGTGTTCCAGGCTCAAGCTAGACTTCTTTTTCAAAGTCTCTATTTTCTGAGTTACTTGTTGATAGTTGTACTTTATATCTGATACAAGCTTGAGATTCAATATTTATCTTTTCATATGTATAGATAAATGCTGATGAGACGCTACACTGATGAGTAGGACTGAGGATGTATGTCGTTTCTCATAGCTGACCCAGATTTTTGAAATGTTCTGTTTTGTTCAATATTTACCTCTGGGCTCCATTTGTATCAGCCATCCCTGCCTATCTCGGCATCATGAGTGTCGACTGTGGTATTCTTTGGGCTATTTTTCTGATTTGGGTTTTGTGATGGGGAAGTTAGTGAGTGAGTGCAAACAGAGAGAGCGTAGAGAGCACATGTTGCTATGAGCTGATCATACTGCGGTTGGTATGATTAGCTCGTCCACGCCAACAAGTTCTGTGCTTTGTCGTCTCGTTAAATGTGCTGTCAAAACAGTGGATTTGCATATGTGTGTAGATAACGTCCTGGTGGATCCTCAGATAATAGTTCCTTTGAAAGCAGAACTGCTGCTATTAGAATAGCCCATTAGTCATGGTGTCATAACAGCTGAGTCCTGTACGTGTTCACTCACAAATAGGCTACGAGAAGGAGTTACTTCTGTATTTGAGGAAAAGCAGTAGTGTACATTCTGATTCTACGTTGGCACAAAGTGAAGTAATGAGAAACATGTCTGACGTCTGGTTAAATCAAAGTCTTCAAAACAGGAGCTCGAATTAATGTCTTCTCCTTCACTGACTGATTGATTGCAGAACCTGCAGGGCAACATCACGGCAGACTTGGTAGTTCCAAGATGTGTGCAGTGTTTTCTCTCGTCTCTTCAGTCCCTTTCTTACTGAATAAACATTACGACTGAAGCTGCAATACTTTACGCTCAGTTGCGCTACTGACTCGCATCTTCTTTTCTTTTTTTGCGCAGTGCACAACGCCTTAACCGCCGTCATAGTGTCACTCATGATGTACAGCTTCATGGGAGGGGGCCTGTTCTGTGCCATCGTGGGGAACATCTTGCTGGTGGTCTCCACAGCCACAGACTACTGGATGCAGTACCGTCTGTCGGGCAGCTTTGCCCATCAGGGCTTGTGGAGGTACTGCATGTCCGGCAAGTGCTACATGCAGACTGACAGCATTGGTAAGTAATGAGACACCTTTACGGGGAATGTCACTCGGGACACAGCAATGCTCACCAGAGTGGAGGATCTGAAAAACACATTTACATCACTTGGACTTACCAAGACTTCAGCCAGTCTCTGTGACATTTTGCTCCAACATCATCCCAGTGGCAGGGCTGATGCTAAGGGTATAATGTTTAGCATGTATGTTCACTATGGTAATGATGCACAATGTTTGCTATGTTAGCTGATGGAAATGCCATTCGTTGAGCAAAGTTTTAAGTGATGGACAGCTTAATTTTTTATACCTGTGTAGCTATAACTAGAATACCATGAATGTGTGCTTCATGGGGATAAAGCTGCTGCTTACTTTGAAGAACTAAATTGTCTACGGTGGCATCAGAAGACACGTCTTAGGATTATCAAAGACATTAGGATGCATCAAACTTGCACCATGCGTGGTCGGTTTAAGGATGCTGCATTCAAATTTCTAGGATATTTTAATTGTGCACAAAAAGATGAACAGACCAGCTGACATTGCCCCCCTCTTAGGCCACATAGCGTACATGGCTAAGAATTAAAACAGTGCAGCGTGTATATAAGGACAAACAATTCAATAATAACATCCTAAAGAACTAGGAAGTGACCCTTTCAGAGTTCAAATGCACCACTGTGTTGACCTGCAAGTGCTGTTACAGTGTTTGTTTGTTTGCTTTACAACTTCCTCCTCGACTATTTCACCGTGTGAAATAGAGCTTCGGTCCTCGGCCTGCCACCGCACATCGGTTGCTGTTAGCAGATAAGCAAAAGTGCTGTCGAATTCAGAGAAGTTCCTCTGAAGGGAAATGGAAAATGCTTTGAAATGACAGTGCACACATGCAGTCACAGCCTCAGAACTGTATATTGTACATAAGTGAATCCAACGACAATGAATGCTTTTTTGGGAAAATGCATTTTACATCCAATAAAAGGTTGTAATCTTGTGTTTACTTGATCTTCCTGCACAGACTTTTATAGCATCCTTTGTCCTTTGTTTCACTCCTCCTCAGCCTACTGGAATGCCACTCGTGCCTTCATGATCCTGTCTGCCATGTCATGCTTTGCCGGCATCATTGCAGGAATCCTCTCCTTCGCCCATTTCTCTGCCTTTGAGAGGTTCAACCGCTCATTTGCTGCTGGGATCATGTTTTTCGTTTCAAGTGAGCATTTGAATGACCTGTTATAATGCACAAAGTTCACCGTAGTAACATAATAACTTTCTATTGAAAGCATTTGTTATCGTAACAGATATTCATTTTTATTATGTGTATTTGTTCTGCCCACCGTACCAGCTCTCTTTGTTCTGCTTGCAATGGCCATTTACACCGGGGTGACAGTGAATTTCCTGGGCAAGCGCTTTGGTGACTGGCGTTTCTCTTGGTCCTACATACTAGGCTGGGTGGCACTGCTCATGACCTTCTTTGCAGGTTTGTTCATGTAAATGTCGCGCCGGAGTTCTGCAGAACTTCAGCGTCTTGTTGATTGTAAACAAAATAATTTTGAATGCTCACGTGAATATTACACAGCTTTCACGGCACCAGTACAACAGTCAATAGTCCAAAGTTACACCAGCTCTTGAAAAACAACTCATAAAATCTGAAATAAACTTGGGCCACATCAACACAGTCGCTTTATGAACATTTTATTCCCAGGGAATTCTTAAAGGTGCTACTGTTACATGCTTTAGTTCAAGATTTACACTGTTAAAAATATCAACAATACATTAAGTTCACATATCTTCAACATTATACACTAAAAATATGCATTGCCATAAAAAAATAAAAACTGTACAATCCTTTATTGTGGTGCCGTTATCTTATACCATGTGTGTGTGGTGGAGATGTGATCTTTGTGGTAATTATTGCCATGTCTATTTACAGCTGACTTGTTTTTCTGTTTTTTTTTTTTTTGCAGGTATATTCTACATGTGCGCCTACAGAATGCATGAGTGCAGAAGAGTGGCCGGCCCACGTTAAAGGAACAGGAAACAACGTGCTGAGGCTGCACAGGATATCCATTCACATCTAAAGATAGAGAGCTTACAGGAAAAAACACAAAATAAAATTTGGAAATTTGCATATGTGCCAAACATGTCTTGTGGTTTTCTTATAAAATGGTGATGAATAGGATGGAAGACACAGTCCCTTTAATCAGGATTAGATTACCCGTAACAAGATACATTAAAGGTGATCTAAGACAACTTGAGAGTGTCAGACATTGCTTTATAAATGAACAGTTAAATATACCATTTCACACTCTGATATTCTGTCTGTAATTTAATAAAATAATAGCATTGAAGCTCAATATGTACATACAACATTGAAAATGTATTTCTACTCTTAGCTAGAGCTGGCGCCTTGCCCTTTCATTTCTATACCAGCGCGCCCACGCTTCCTGAAAATTGAGTTTTTACTGGTGCAGCGGAAGACAGAGGAGGAAAAGTAGAAGATGATTGGATCGAT